TTTGTCATGACTGATTGGGACGACAATGCAAATTACAGTCAACTTTTTAAATCTGCATTACGAAATAACATATATAACTTCCCACATCCGCCGACAGGCTTGCTTGAGACTGTGCTACTCTCCTAAATCTTTTTTTTCCTTCAAAATTAACCATTCAATTCACATCAGGTAAATATGATTTGGTCGATGTTGGGTATCCATTGCAGCGAGTGTATCTCAAGTCCTATTCTGATGCGAAATACGACATATCTAATTTTGAGCGAGCCAGCAATGTCGTGCGTGACATGAAAGAAATGTTCAACAAAAGATATTCTTTTTTATGCAATGTCATTGAAAGAACGTTTGGTTTTTGAAAGGAGAAATGGGCTATACTTCGCGATATATCATCTTACTCATTCCCCAAATAGATGCAGAATGTGATGTCATGATGACTCTCCACAATTATATTTAGTGGTATCTTTTCTGCAGCAACATCAGCTTCCGTAGAGCAGACTAGGATCATGCCTATGTCCCTGTCGAGGCATATAAGTACCATCTTGGCTGGTCTATCACAGGGCGAAAATGATATTCCCAAGACCTGCACTCAAGATAGGGAAGGTGCAAGCAAGATGACAGAGTTGAGCGAAAGAATTACGGATGTGACAGTTGGAGAATGATTGAAAGGAATATTAGTTTTTATTTCTGTTAATTGTAATTGTTGTTGAAGACATTCAATGGTTATTGTATCATTATTTTATACAGTTCATATTTATTTTCATTCCTTGTGCATTTAATATTTACTGATTTGGTTTTTGCAGAAGTTGTATGTGTATTATTTCTATTGCATTTCTTTTTTTTTCTTTTGATAGGTTTTGGAGGTTTATGACGAAACATTTGACCTTATGGGTTATTCTAGATGGTTTGTATGTCGTCATTAGTTGGTTTCACGTGTGAAATCCTAATGAAGGCAACCAAATTTCTCTCTTTTTTCGATGTTACGGTCTTTTAGTTTCTTCTAGATGTCTTTTTTTAATGATATGCATATGTGACACACATGAACTTGATATTACGTGGGTTAAAAGACAACCAAAAACCTTTTTTTATAAGGTCTATTAGCTTCTTATAGTGACAAATTTGCTAGTTTATATACTGAGTTTTTTGAGACTTCACAGCTACAAAAAATTTAATTAATTAGTACTTCTATCAATTTTTATTTATGCTATGTCTAAGGATATATTTTTTTAAACCTTCAAGAAAGATGAACTCGATGATTTCCGGTACCTCCTGAGGATTGCACTGCTACTGTAGACTTTAATTGTCACTGCTCACTTCACGTCGGTCACATATCAATGGGAGAGTTTTACAAGTGCCCACAGAGAATCACGAAAAAATGTGACTATTTTTTGTGGGAAGATAGGCTGGAGGATTCCATTGTCGAGAGTGATCGGGCATGGAGAGTATCCCTGGAGGACAGCTTAGTTCGCTGGATATGCCGTCTATATTATGAAAGTAATTACACTATAGTCTTGTCTTTCGTGAAATTCCATTATCAAGAGTTTTCAATTCATCCAGTCTTCCCTAAAAATCGCAACCATTTCATGCCCAATATAACATCGGTTCTCCCTAAATCCAAGAGAAGAAAGTTCTTCGTCACCTAAATATTCCACAATTTCAAAATCAACCTGCTCTCCTTCACCTATCCCGTCCCCTTCATTACTCCAACACTTCCAGTGCCAACCATCACAAGCTCCAATTGCTCCACTACTTGAGTGGAGATGAAGTTATGAGTGGCACCACTATCTAACAACACCATTATGCCATGCCCTCTGATATATCTCCAAAGTTTCAAAGTGTGGTTCAGTGTGAACCACACCACTCAGTTCAAGAGGACTTTTGTCATATACAAGTGAGGGTGTTCCTCCACCTCCGCCACAATCTCCTCTGTTTCTTCATCTCTGTCTCATCCTCATCACACTGACAATTTGCAATGTTCGATCATTGCAATGATGCCAAGGAGTAAGCTTTTCATCACACTGAAAATATAACCCCTTGGCTCACTTCTCTTAAATCTCTATCTCTGCAAAGCATTTGAAGATCCCTCCTTATCATGGCCCATTATTTCTCTGTCGTTGAGCCACTCTTTAGAATCCTAACATTTGAGTTTTATTACTCTCATGGTTGTGATATTTCGATATGGCACTTCAACTGTGTTTACTCCTATTAGCTCATTCCATTGAATTTTTATCTCCAATCAATTGCGCTAATTTCATAATTTCCCCCAATAGTCACGATCTCAACAGACAAAATGATCTCAAATGTCTGGCTTTAACTCCTTCATGAAGTTTTCTTCCAACACTACTTTTGATAACCCTCTCAAACAGTCGGATAGCATCTCATATTTCTCCCTGTAATCCATAATGGACTCTTCCTGGATTGATACAAAAAATTGCTTATGTAAATCCATACGGTCCTTGAGTTTTTCCTATGTTATGATTAGTTCACATTGTTCTCTCCATTCATACCACGCTAGAGCCTTCCCTTCCAAATATAGGGCTGCCGACATCAATTTTTTTTATTTTGTCATCCGATTAACAAAAGTATCTCTCCACTAGGTCAACCTAATCATAGGAATCCTCTCCTTAAAATATCAACAACTTTAACTTCCTTAAGCATGAGTCTTCTCCTTAATTTTCTCAACCAAAGTTTGTTCCACCCATGAAGTGACAAATGGGTTCCCTTCCTTGACCCATATTGATTTTCCTTCTTTCATATGTCTGGCTCGCACCATAATCACCTCAACCGTCTCTATAGGATCCTAAATCTCCTTCCGCCTTCATGGCTGCCACAACAAAATGAACTGGCTCTGTTAGATGCAACTCTCGGCACATCACCTTGAAGAACAACAAATGCATCAAAGTCCAAATAAATAGATCATACAAATACACCAAATATCATGCATTATAATTAGTAAACACCAGCATGTGCTCCATCACTTGCTTGAGTTCACAAAACATTAAGCTTCAGAGAATGTTGTGAGGGTTAACTGTATAATTAAGTTTAAAACCAAATCTATATAGATAAATGTGTGTATTTTAGAACTTTAACAAAATCTCTTCAATAAGTCAAATTTAAATCATAAAGTTACACTTATTTATAAGCAGGCCGCCTTGCTTATACGATTCTCACTTTGGTCAATCTGATAATTCTCCCTACAGGAACTGAGGTTGACAAGGCTAAACCACCAATAGTTAATCTGATCCTTCTCCTAATTAGGACCGGAGACCATAAACCGAAGTTGTCAAGATTGAGCCCCTGAAGAACTAATCGATTATCTTCCTTACAAGGGCTGAAATCAATTGGACTAGTGTTTTTAATGATATTTAAATATTAATTTTCCCATATTATGGTCATATTCACTGCACATCTTAACAGAAAGAAATTTATTTGTAAAATTCAAAATTTTGAATCATAAAACTTATAAACTATTCAAATAAAATTAATCGCACAATGTTTAAAGCAAACCCATCTATCATCCATAATAATTTGTTGGGTAGATAAATTTAATGTTGACTCGAGCTCACAAAAAATAAATCTCATATCAATTACACTATTAAATTCATACTAAAAATAATTTTGTGTCAGTAAAGATATAGCCCAATTCCTCGATTTGTTTGGCTTGGCGAGTAGGCTCCACAAAAAAATTGTTACAACCAAAGCCTTCTGACCGAGTGTTTTGGCCAATATGTTCCACCATAAAACTATCACAAATGTAACCCTATTTCCCCAATGGTATTCTATCCATTTATGTTATGAATTATAGGGAATATTTGATAGAGCATGAAGCCCTCTGCAAACTAAGGTCAACTCAGATTAGTCCCCTAGACAAACATCAATCCCAGGTCTATAAGATTCTCTTGGACAAAACAACTCATGGTTGCTGACAATAATTCTTACATTAAGTTAGGTCGACTACCTCCTCTGACTAAGTATACATGGACCACGATAACCCAAGATGACAAAACCATGATCTCTTGATTGGATTCATCATCATTTCTCCCACTATCTGCTTTAAGCTCACAGTGATAATTTTTATAATTTTAAAATCTTAAATATCTTGCTATGATATGCTAAATATGAATAATTAGCTCCTAATGACTAGCTATAATAAAAAATACACTCCCATTAGTGGGAGGAGTAATTAACCACAGGAATTTATACCTATGAGAAACCTCAAACCCCGAATCTTAAAGTCCTCACAAAATATGAGAAACCTCAAACCCCAAATCTTAAAGTCCTCACAAATAAACCTCAAACCCCGAATCTTAAAGTCCTCACAAAATGAGAGTGAATCTCTGGGCAGTGTTTTATCTTCTCATCTGCCTACTGAAAATTTGACAAGGAACTTCAAGTTAAACTCCCTCATCTCAATTTTCCTTTCATTGTCTTTTCTTTTTAAAGGAGGCCGAGGGTCTTTTTAAAAGAGGTGGAGGTCGAGGTCAATCAAATTTTCGGAGCCAACAATAAAATCAATTTTTGTGTTAAAAAAACTAATGAAAGACGGTATGGAATAATGAAAAGATCCTCGTATAAATTTTATTGATATTAAGAAAGCATGAGGTAAAATATTATGGGAATTATTTTTTGTGAATTAAGTAAAAAAAGTATGTCAAATGTAATTGACGTTACTTGAGATATATATGATGGAGCAATGACTTTTATTAAAGGTACTTATAGAGTGATTTCCCCATTAAAATAGGTTTATATCAATAATCAACATTGATTACTTTTTCCTTAATCATGAAGATACGTACAAAGCAGACTAAAAGTAAAGTGTCATGGTGTTGTTGACCTTCATAACTTTTAAGGCTTAATTGATAATGTATAAAACATATTGACATTCGGAATATGTATCCATAACTTTTAAGGCTTGATTGATAATGTATAAAACATATTGGCATTAGAAGAAAAGACGAGAACAGATTTCTGGAGATGATGAACAATAATGAAAAGAGCATACTTACTTTGGCTTCAAATGCTGAGGATTGCTCAAAAAATCAGTGAGCTTAACTAAAATATTTTCTTCCATGCTGTCCTAAAAACTAAACAAAGAAAGACAATAAATCTTCAAGAGTAAGTATGGTAAAAGAAGTCCCTTGAGAGATTTCATCAGTAATGCTCAAGAATTTTCAGTTCTTTTGGAAGAGTAAAATTGCTTTTCTTAGGGTCATGTTCCACGACATTAGGTACACTCATTCAGCTACAAGTTCAATCCCAAAACTCCTTCCTTCCTCTCGTTCAAGATCATTTATCTTGTTATTCATTCCTTCTTTCCTATATGCCTCTACCAAAATTGAGTATGTAGTTGAATCTGGCATATAACGTCTTTCCTTCATAGACTTGAACACCCTCTCCATTTCTATCAGATCACCAGCTTTTGAACAAGCATATATCACAGCATTAAGAAAAGAGGTATTGTGTGGGATCTCCGACCTCTCGGCCAACTTAATGCTACTCACTACCTTTTGAAAGAGACCTGCATTGCTATACCCAGTGATCAGGTAGCGAAATGTGTTAGTATCCGCTTTCATCCCTTCTGCTTGCATTTGTACAAAAGCATATTCGATGCTTTTGGCATCACCGACAGAAGCAAAAGCTTCAATGATGTTGTTATAAGTTGATGTGGTCCATGGAAAGGCCAGTTTGCGCATGTATTCCATAACTGAAGTCATTTTATCATACATCTTATTCCTCCCATAGGCACTGATCAGGATGTTAAGTGTTCGTGTTTCAGGCTCAATGCCAATGTTGCGAAAATTTTCATACCATTTCTCCATCATCTCTATTTCACCCTTCGTGCCAAACAAACCCAAAATAATATTCATAGTCCACACATCCGGCCTGCATGTATCACTCTCTAGCATTGCGGTAAGAACTTTCTCCATCTCAATGAACTTTCCAGCTTTCCCATAACCTCCAAGTACAATATTCTGGGTTACTGTGTTAGGAACTATCATACGTTCAGACATGTCCTGATACAAGGAATCAATCAGCTCAAATCTGGACGATTCAATACAAGCTTTCAGGAGTGTGCTATATGTGAAGATATCTGGCTGGCAAAGGGGTAAGGTCTTCATTTTAGTGAGGATTGAAAAGGCTTCGTCGATAAAGTTGCACCGACAAAAGGCAGCTAGCAAAGCAGTGTACAAGGCAGAAGTGGGTTCGATTCCTTCTTCTAACATGATCTCAAATAGTTCACCCGCACTAACCGCTTGACCTGATTTTCCCAAAAGGACTATGAGTTTCATAAATGTTCCTTCTTTTGGGCGATAAAAGCTTTGAGCTCTTAACATTTCAAATACCTAATTATAATTAAAGATAAATTAAACATTAAATTGAGAAATGTAGATTAAAAATTTCAGATTTATTAGGTAAATATTATGTTGAAAGCAAAAACAAAATAGCAATTTTATCTCTTTCAAGTTTGCTATGCTTCGTAGAAAAGAACTAACAATGTTCTGCCTTCTTTCTGATTGAGCCAAAAAGAAGGTTAAAGCAGTGTCAGTGATTGTTATCAAAGTATGGCTTAGGCATTCCAACGTGTAGCAGAAAAAAACTAATCTTAAAAGAAAATATTATAAACATGATCATCGAATTGAATTTTGATGTGTTAGGATTTTTTTTTTCTCCGGAACCATCCAAAAGAAGATAAGAGTTTATTGCTATGCAAGTGAAAATCAAACTCAAAACTTTAGGAACAACTTTCAAGACCCTTGCCAACTAGACTAGTTGGTACCCACAGTTTTGATGGTTAGATAAGATGCGGTAGCACGGAGGCATCACTCAATATGAGGAAATCAACTTCCAAATCCGAGGGTGGCAATCGATGGGACACATGTCATGACGGCAGCTGACGTAGCAGTTGCCATGTGGCGCTGCATCGCAGTGCAAAACAGTCATCGTTGATATGTGTCAGTGCATGAAACGATACTCCCTGACATGTCGGCTAATGTGGCATCTGCCACGTCAGTTGCACAACAGCACCATTAACAGAGTCGTAAGCGCCAGTTAAAGAAGGTTAAGTCTTTAGTTGTCAAGATGTGGCGAGAAAGTTCCACGTAAGTTTGACGTGGCATTTTCCATGTCAACAACGCCATAACCTGGCGACATGGCGCCATACCAACTTTTTTTCCCTATAAAAGGAGCAGTTCGAGGCTGCCCCTAAGGTTGGCATCTGGTCATTTTGAACCTACTTTGTACCTTCCATTGCAATCCGAGAGCTTCTAGAATTTTCTCTACTCTCCTTCCGCCTTCTTCCCTTTAGGGTGTGTGAACTTCTATCCACTTCTCGGCCTTAACCTCCTTCATCCAGCGAGTCGTCATTGCCGAAGACAAAGCCATTCATGGTCAGAGGAGCATTTGGAGTTCCATGGAACAAACTTGGTAGCCTCGTACACTAGGGAAGTCCTCAAACTCTCTGTGTAGATGAAATCTCTAAAACACTCGCATTCCTCATTCATTAGAGCCCCTTAGGGTTTTGTGATAGAGGATAAGGTGTTCTACTTTGCCCAAGTGAAACACTCGTCTTTCTTCTATGGGCCTAGGTTACATGAATTAGCACATTAGTGCCTAGGCTTTAGCCTACCTTTAGATTGACCTGGATTGGTAATAGTAAAATGACTAAATGAGTATTGCTTATTGGTTTATCCAGTTGGGCAATATAAGTAATCGTATTACATTCTGATCTTATAAGATCGTTCCAAGTATAGACTTGGATTAACATTTGTCATCTGTTGTGACGAGTGTTAATTCATTCAGAAGCTCCCGACAGGGTTAACCTGGTGAATCCTGTCAAGATCCTACAGGAAAACCTTTTGGCCACCGCACTGCACGAGCGTCGCTTAGACGTATGTGTAGGTAACACCCTGTAGATGATTGTTTAGAACTAGGGTTGGGGTTTAATTAGGATTTTAAATGTATGGTTGTTACTTGACATATTTGCTAGCCACCACATTTATGTTGATTTTATGTGTTTACGGAGCCTGAGACATGCACATTATCATTATTATGGTGATTTTCTTGTAGTGAATCGGATCAAACGAGGAGCAGCTAATTAATAATCGACCTAACATGTCTTCTACATACATTGTTAAGCTCTCCTCCCACTAGACTTAGCTCGTTATTTGTTGCAATGGCAAATGATCTTTTATGTAGGTCGAGCTTTATTTTAAGACCTTTCTTATGTACTTTTAGAGTCTAAGATTAAAGTATGTATAGAAAATAAGGTACCAACACGAGTCCCGAGGAACTTGATGTGTGGGAGAACATGTGATGAGGATCAAGAGTTGTTTGTTCATGCCTCATACCTTAATTAAAAATCTATTTGCTTTATAGATTTAGGATTGAGTATGTATTATGCGGAGCCCGACTGCTATTTTTAGTTTTTTGGGATATGTGCTGACCCAACAATATTTGGGCCTTTATTTATATTATTTTGGCTTGATTTGTTTTATGCATGTTTTGTGTATTCTATCATTGATTGCTTGTCGTTTGTCAGGTCACAATCATGTTAGGCTCTTCAGCGTAAAATCTTTGTTATAAGATTCTAGGTTAAAATATTTAGATTAAAATTATGCAAGATTTTAAAATCGACAACTTTTATTTCCGGTTATTTATTATTTTGCATGGGATTTGAGCCAGTATTAAAATAATCATAAATGCATGAAGATATACTTTTGCATATTAACAGAGACTCCATATGAGGAACTTTTGCATTCATACTACATGTCCCGAAGGAGTCTGTGCTTACTTCCCAATTTGACCAATCAAACATATATTTATATGCTTAAGAGATTTTTCTAGCATGTTTAAAGGTGTTAAGGGCAGCCCCAACCCATCGTGAGTTCTTTATGGGGTGATTCAACTTTGTAGTCGGATTGTACCTTCCTCTTTCCACTCCTTAGGCTTCATGATCATACTCTTGGCAGGTGTAAGTCCTAATCTACCTTTTCAATTCGATTAGGATCATAGGAACCTTATATGTTTCTTTCTCTTGACTTTAAGGCTACTAGGCCGTCTTGAACCACGTAACTCATAAGTTGTTGACGAGTAATTCTTGGTTGGGTTGGGTTGACAACCTTCATGACCGAGTAGACTTAAGAGTCTAGACAGCCTGGGACGAAGGATTAATGTAATCCCGACTGGGTTATTTCAAGTTGCCAAAGAATTTTTTTTGACTTACCACTGACTACCCTTTTTTGGTCATTTATTGTACTCCTTTGTCGATTAATGTGGTCATCTCACATGCCCTCCCTGTTGAAGGGCGAGCTACCTGTTGAATTACAGTGATTCACCCTCTGTTTGATAACCTGATAGCACAATGCCGATCAAAGTCATCTCCTGTTGAGGTTTTATTAAAAATCTCGTTGGGACCTACATTTTTTATAGTCATAGCAATCGAGCATAATTTCTCTTAAAAAGAGTTTTCCTGGATATCCCCCATGATGTAATGGATCATGAGGACATGTCGCCGTAGGAGATCACTTTGACCCAAGAACAAAATAAATTTAATTTTCTCTTTTGGTTTGAATACGAGGGTTTTTTATAAGATCCTTCTCGTATATTTACTTTGGTTAAGCATGATCCGATTCATTTCGGTCCACATTTTCTCCAGTTTATGTTACTAGGACTATTCTATGCCATATCTTTAGTTCTATTCTTTTTGTCAGCCTTCTTAATGTTCGTCCAACATTGCATTTCCTTTTTCTCGTTTCATTTATATGGAGGTTATTCGAGAAAGTGGATGTGAAGAGGACGCGCATCAAGAGCATTGCATGTCTCCACATCCATAAAAATAACAAAAAGGGAGACGAACAAACATTTTTAATCATAATTTTTTTATGATACGTTGCTTCTCATATTTAGTTAAAATATAATTATTTTTAAGATCTTGATGACTGCATATTTTCTTCCGACAAAAAATTGTGTTTTATTGTTAGTGATATCTACGGTAATTTGAATTTAAATTATTAAAAAAATATTATTTTTATAAGCATAGCTTTGCAATGCATGTCTTTAATGTAATAAAATGAATAAATCATTTTGAATACAATAAAGCCAAAGAATTGGAAATATATGAAATGATTTTCATGAGTTGAAATTTTTTGATAAATTATGGCAATCAACCCTCTGTTGTTGATAATTTTACATGGAGACCTATGGAACTCATATTCAAGCAATTTTAAAGGTACTTTCATAACCTCTTAGATTTTCATAGTGTCTATGTTTAATTCATCTTGATTGAATTGTTCTCAATGACTCTAAATTCAAACATCCTTATTAAAAACCTTGAGCTGTTTTGCTTCAACAATTTTTAAGATGTTGTCAAGATTTATAATACAAATTTTATGCATTGTTAAATGAAATTTTCTATACACTCCATAAGAATAGGTGTCTCGGAAAAAGAGTAGAACAATGAACTTTGAATGCAAAAGAGTAACATGTAGTTGATATAAGCGTGTGTCCTACAAATAAAAAATTACCACCATTTGCTCTTATTTATAGGCCATTAAAATTAGCAAAAGACATGAAAATACAAGAATTACAATTTAACTTTGAGAGCATAAGCATTCTACACGCGTGTGCTAACTAGTGCAAACAAATTATTTAACAGCTTAATCCGATGATAAATAACTTTTCTAAAATCAAATCACCTCATAACTCAAATTCAGTTATCTTAAATTCACCAATCTTCTCACATGCAGCCAAAAACTTTGAGCATTTAATTCAAATTAAAATTTGACATCCAAACAGTTTTAGGTTTTCACAACCTCAAAGGGACTTACTAAAGCAAGATTTACAGTATTTGTTAATGCCCATTTTTTTATTATTAGGAGTCATAAACTTCACCCAAAAACCTTGACAATAGAGTTGATCTTAATCCAGATCGTAACTTTAATGGTGAAAGGCGCATTAGGGGTCAGATCTACGGAGAAAAATTGTCTAAGCCGTCCAAACAGACAAGAAAGGAAAGCTCCATATTGTGGAGGGATTAGACAATGCATGCCTACTCCTAACTCTACCTTAACACAAACAACCCTTCATTAATAAAAATAACTTCTAGCGATATACCCAACACTCAGTCCAATGCAACATCTTTGCCACCAGTTTCAGCAACGCAAACCCCACACTAACCGCAACTTGAAATAACTATTTGTCATTACATAAGGAACAAGGAACAATGTAGAATTCGTAAAATTAATATCTACAAACATGAAAGCATAAGAACAGGTGAAAAATCAAAGGTACTAAACAAAATCCCAAAAAAACGAAATAAAGCGAACAGGACTGACAAACCTCAAGTGCCTCCCGCCACTGCTTCTTCTGGATCCTATCCGAAAGAGCTTCCGTAACCGTGCAAGCCCAAGCCTTCGCGCCCCTCCGGTCATCGATCTTCTTTTTAATGTTTTTAATCGGCGGCCGAAGAGATCCGACAATTGAACTCTCCGAGACCCCCGGGAACTCACCCGCCTTCCAGTGCCGTTTCTTGGGCGGCGAATGAGGCGCGTTCGGCGCGGGAGCCGCCGGAGTCTTCTGTGGTGTAGAGGATACGCGGGGTGGAGACATTGAGGAGCTAGAGGATTTCTTCTTCGGACGAGAGCGGAGTGCGCAGAGGCAGATCCTCACAGGTCGCACCTCTGCTATCTTGCCATCTCTCCATGGAAACGGAAGAAATGAAGAAGAGAAGGAGATGGAGGAAGCAGTGGCCATTGTTGATGACTGAGAGTTGGTCGAAATGGAGCCCTTTAAACGCATAGGAATATTAGGACAGCAAGATTTTTATTAAATTTTTTATATTATATAATTTATTAAAAATTTTATCCCTTTAAATTTTGATACTTAATAATAATTTATTATTAATTATATTTTTTAATTTAAAGAGTTGAAAATTTTAAATTTAAATATTTAACTATTTATCATCTCTTAATTTTTAAAAAAACAATCTGTCTTTTTAAAATTTAATTTCTATTTAGTTAGTAAATAATTGAGAAATATAACAATGAATTCATTAATATCTAATTTTTATAAAATTATGTTCTATTTTTTGTGGAATTAAATAGGAACACATTCTTTAATTTAATCATGCCTTTTTAAATTTTAGTGTTTTTTTTAATATAGTTAATAATTGAGAAATATAATAATGAATTGACATAGTATTCAATTTTTATAAAGTGGTGTTTTAATTTTTGTGGAATTAAATAAGTGCACTTATCATATTTTTGTCATCCTTAACTCATGTCATTTTTTCCATCATTAAGGCGCAAATAGAGCATCTCAATATATCATTATATTGTTTATTAAATTATTGCTATAGAAATTGGTAACATTATAACAAGCATCACAACTATATCAAGTAATTTCCATTATTTATCATTTTAATTTTAAAATATATTACAAGATCTTATCTCAATTATAAAATTCTCAAGTTGATTGTCCACAAAGTTAGATTCATAGTTAATAAATTTGAAGGATAAATATTGGCAAGACATATTAATCATTTCTTTTCAAGAATTTGAAAATGAATCACATTCCAAATAAAGAAAAAAATCTAGCATTTATCTTATTAAATCTTTTATTAAACACTTGAATGTATACATAACTTAACTTGAACATTTTATCATTAAAATGAGATTCAATAATGACTTTTTGAAGATAAATGAAAATTCAAAATATGCAAAAAATTAGTGAATACTAATAAAAAAAATATTTATTATTTAGCACAAGTAATTATAAGAGTTATCTTCATGTTATAAATTTCAACATCAATGTTTGAAGGAGGGTTCACTTTTATAAACACTTGTGCAATCATATATCAAATGTTAGGATGATTGATTATCAAATTAGATATATTAAAAAGGACATATTTATTTATACCTTACAACATAATTATATAACACTCTCAAATTATAAAACTTAGATGAGATAAAATATAATGCTAATACTTATAAATTTGTTTTGTAAATATGTCTTATATTTTGTATTAAGAGTCCAAAAAAAAATTGAAACCATTGATGTCAATTCTAAGCCCAAATGGAAAAACTAGGGGTATTTTGAAATCATTTGTTGTGTCACCTAATGTAAAATTCATAGCTCTACCACAAATGCTTAAAAAAGTTTACAATTTCTAATAATCATGAAATGCTAACTTTGTTTAAATATCTTTTGAAATTATTTCATTGTCTTTAGAATTTCAGCATTATGTTCAAAAAATTATATTTTTTAGCAAAATTATTTTATTTATTTTCATAATATCTGATATGCTTTCCATGATAAACTTCAAATAACTATATAGAAAATTTCTTAATTTTTTTTATTTTCTTATATAATTTATTTTAATTATCTTTATTATTCTTATTTAATCTTCCATATCATTTAAAAAATTATATTATCATGCTTAATCATGTCATGCTAAATTTAAATAAATATCTTCAATTTCTATTATTTTGTTAAAATTTTAACAAATGCTTCATG